ATTTAACATATGAGCTTTCCCATACAGCTGAGCAACACAAACCACATTAGAAAAAGAAAATATAAGTAAATAAATAACATACATTATCCATCTGGGCCATTATGGCGGTGATCTTTCTTCCTGCAGTTCCACCTTTGGCATTGAAAACCTTGATCAGGTTGTCTGTCTGACGGTCCAGTTCTCCAAGGAATTTGGAGGTCAGAGGTACAGTTGTCAGTCGCATAAACTCCAAGTTGATCTGTAAAAGGTAATTCAGACAGGATACAGATTTTAACAGTTTGAAAAGAAGATCAGTGAAAGACCAAGTTATTACACTTCAGATTCACACTTACCTCACTGACATCAAAGAGTGCTGGCCATCTGCTTAGGAACTCTGGAATTGCTGGCTCCTGGAGAACCTCCTGCCTTCTGATCGAGAAGGWATGTTGCATCTTCTTCTTGATCTCAGCCTCATCCTTTTTCTTCTTTTTTACCTCTGTCAGTAGAGCCACCCTTTCCGCCTCCATACTCTCTGTTGTTTCACCTCTGGGTATGTTTGGACAGAAATTAACTTCTGCCTTCCTGGGCTTCTTGATGTTGGCCGCTGGCTTCTCCTGGCCTTTCCGTTTATTCTTCAGAGAGTTGACTGCAACCTCAGAATGTCCAGCTCGGCTGAGAAGAAAAACAATTTACATTAAATGCAAGTGCATGAATCTGTTGGACTGACACTTGGACCACCTTGTGCCGGCATAGATGTGTTATAGCAAAAGACTTGGTGCTTCGGACGTGAACAAAATAAAGCCCATTAAATAAAATGCATACCTGAGCTTTGATCTGAAGTTCATCATCTTTATTTTCAAGTAGTGCTTCCAACCGCAGTAGCCACTGYGAGTGCCTTTCTCCAACAGACATGGGTGGGACTGTATCAGAGCCTTGGCCACTTCTTCTAACTGCTCATCCTTTGGATATGCTGTATACTTCATGATTTCTTCAGCTAGGCCCTCAAGAATATCAGAACGTGTTTTTGGGGTAGGAGACAACAAAGTTCCGTGTGCATTGAACTCATTATTTCCAGAGTGAAGTATCATCTCGGCAAAGTATGAGAAGCGAGGAACAACAAAGACTTTGGGCCAAAAACAGGACCGGGTCTCGGGTGATGACAAGATGATAGTATCATTGCTGCTGCAGGAGTCTGAATCATTTGCTTGATGTGATGAGGAGCTGACACTGGATGGAGTACCTGGGATTATGGGACTGGCATCCCTTGAGAGTGGATTAGAGCTGGTTGTCTCAGAAGGTATGTACACAACTTTCACAGTGGCTTTATCTTCAAGTTCTGAAGTTGATGAGAGGTTCATGAACTGATCATCCATTTCTCTGTCTCTGTACTGAAGTCTGAATGGCTCAGTCACTTGGAAGAAAGTCTTTATTTGAAGTGCAAATTCCTCCACAGTGTTTGGTATTCCAGATTCAATGGTGAGTTTTCTTGCATCGTCTTCACCTCCAAAGAGGACTCTAAAAGTTMCTCGTCCTGCCATCYTGCTTTGCTAATCTAAGGTGGAAACAAACAAAGTTGACAGGCATTAGTCTTGTTTATTAAAGAACTAAACCCTTCAAGCAGAACGCACAGACAAGACACAGTATTAGCCTACAACTGATGAATTAATGAAGACAGAATGTTAGAGAACAGTTAGTAGGGAGAGGACRGAGTAGGAGAAATGAGAGAAGCTTAAAAAGACATTATAAGAGAGGTGGGTTGTACAGAGAAGAATAATTCAGTGAAGTGGGTAGTAGTATAGCTTGGAGAAAGAAGAGGCTATCAGTGAAGAGAATGGCAAAATAGGTGGTCAGTAGAGAGGAGACTAGTACAGCTAGGAGGAAGGTAAGATAGGTTAGTGAGAAGGCTAGAGGAGACTTGGAGAGTGAGGAATTAAGCAAAGAGTGGAAGCTAGGAAAGGTGACTGGTGAAAAGTTAACTCTCCATTACAGAAGAATTTTCACAGCACTGTAGCATATGAAAATCATACCATTGATAACAATGTGTCTTTTCAGGGTCACCATGCGTCTCGATCCGACTGTGTAGGCCACAAGTGGGTAGCAATCTTTTAGCTCCCCAAACTGAACAAGGGCAACKTTTCTATCTGGTGACAAAGTCAACTGAAAGGCCCTGAAATGATCCTGATACCAAGCAAAATATAGACGAACTATGAAGCTCAACTCATCTCCCACTATACACATTTGTAGAATCTCTCCAAATTCAGGCATTCCAGCAGTTGAATCACATACAACCATCATTCCATTTCTGTAGTTGATCCCCTTAGTTGTGACATTCTTTGTGAGATTAACTTGACTAATGTCTGGATATTTCTGTCTGAGAGCAACTACAACCTCTTCATTCAGAACTTCAATAGGGACTTTGGAGACATTTGTCACTTCCAGATTTGAAGCATTGAGACTAGATGAGTGCAAGTGAAAACTGATTAATTGCTGGTGTTTGGCTGCCAGAGTGAGTGCAATATTCCTGAAATTATTTGTGTGTCTGGCAACTTGTTTAAAAAAACTATGTTTTGCCTCAAATCTTATTGTCCATACACCCACAAGAGGCCCAAAGCATGTTATCAAGTGTGGATAGTGCTCAAGATAGTGGTGTTTAGGTTTCAGTGTCTCACCTGGGATAAGCTCACGTAGTCTCTGTCTGTGCTCAGACACTTTAACATCAAGGTAGGYGATTGTCTCTTTGGTGTGAACAGGTGCCACAACTAACTCCACAATTTCCTTTAGATCTAGTATCACTTGCCAAGCAAGCTCACCTTCTGGTAAAAGGTCTCCTATCAGAAATGGGAGGAAACGTATAAGGCACCAATTCTCATGGGCGTTGCCACCTACTGTCTTTCTACTGGAGTAGGTGTGTGGTATAAGGTGAGGCCGATTCTTTTTGTCACTCCACTTGAAAGGAAACTTGAGGATACATGTGTTAAGAAACTCAAGAGTAAAATACTTCTTGGAGATCAGAATGCTCAAACACAGTGCTAGTTCAAATGGGACAACACCCTCAAACAAATCATGCACTATGTCTGGGGGATAGCCTGTGCTGACGTGAAAATGGTTAAGATGCTCAGTTAAAGGGCAAGCACGCTTCACTCCAAAGCAGCTTGTTTCAGTGTCCTGTGCTGTCTTTAGATGTGCTTCATGTATTTCTTTGGTTCTAAGTGAAAAAGCACCTGAATAAACATCAGCTGATTGGATCTCTTCTTTCTGAGCAGTACAAAATCGACAAATATAATTTGCAGAAAAGCTCTCTATAAATCCAGCCAAACCATGGGCACCCAAATTGTCTGCAATAACACTGTGCACTGTTCCTTTGACAAAAGTCCCAAGCTTTGAAACATAGACTCCGTGCTCTTCTAAAGTAACAAGATCATRTAATAGTGGCTCTAATATTTTTCTATATCCATAAGTCTTTAAATCATTACTCTTGCACAAAACCGCTAAGTAAATAGAAGTGAGTGCTGAGTGAAAGCCTGGTCCCAAATTATTCAGAATCCAGTATATGCTGCATAACTTGTGCTTCTTCCGTGATGTGCCCAAAGGATTACACAATTCAAAGTCATCAATGTATAAGGTTAAACAAATTTTTAACTCACCACCTGACAGAAAAGGGTTTTCTTTGAAGTACACACCATCTCTTATGGAGCAATACTGCTGGTTTTCAAGCTGGTCTGAGTTACTGCCCTGTGTTCTGTGGCTATCAATAACTCTATTCAACACTTCAGGAGAATCAAGTATCTGCTGCAACGATCGCAGTAAGGGGATATATTGAAAAGAGCTGCTTTTTTTGGAATCAAGAACAAACTCTACTGGCTCGACAACCTTAAACACTTCTTTATAGTACTCTTTTCTCTTATAAGCTGTTGCAAGGGGACCACCTTTCCCTAGTGCATTTGCCAAAGGATTATATTTACACAGTGAATCAGCTAATTCCTTAATAACCAAGCTATCAACCTCAAGGTTTTTGCTTTTGAAAAAATCTGATATACTGCTACAAGTTATTGGCACAGACACAGTACTCAGTAAGTAGTGTAGCTCATCAACCAATTCATTTATTGCTGCAGATGGAACATGAAAAATGTTTTCCAATTTCAATAGAACAGAGCCAAGTTTCTTTACAACAACTTCAGGAATGTCCTCTGAAGTATCACTATCTGCATCTGCGTCTGACAGCCTACCATCTATGTCTGCAGTAAATGAGTGCCCTTCATCTGCTGGACTAGACTGAACACTGACTTTAACTACACCTACTTTAAAATCCTTTAAACTGTGTGAATTATGTTTACGATTTTTATGCGAGTTAAAAGTGCCATAAATGTTTGACTGATATGTACATCCCTCAAACATACAAGTTACATTTTCATAATGCCTAAGGTGTTGATTAATATGACTAAAGTATTCCTTCTCTGTTGAAAGTTCTTCACACCTACATGTCTGACAAACGAACGTAGTGAACTGAGCACCTGCTGTTTCTAATTTGCTGTGTGTTCGATATGTGTGACTCAAAAGTTTTTTCCAGCTTGTGAATGTGCAAGGACAGTCTAGATATGCACATAGATATTGGCMTGTCCGGCTATGGTGGAAATGTCTCAGCCTAAAATGTTTTAATAACTCATACCTGGTAGATAAAGATTTGTCACACAATTTGCAAGGCCACATTCACACAGTCCCTGTGAATGAATACAAAGAACAAATCAATTAGATTATCTGTAAAATGAGCTGCCTTTCAGCTTGAGTTTGTTGTTGAAGTTTAATCGCTTTCATGATGTTACAATAAAAGGCATTCAAGAAAGACAGCTCCTTTTAAAAGTGCATAATGTACAACAAAACATAAAAACAACACATCCAACTTTGTCCACGATCAGACGTNACCTACCTACCTACCGACCGACCGACCGACCGACCGACCTACCTACCTACCTACCTACCTACCTACCTACCTACCTACCTACCTACCTACCTACCTACCTACCTACCTACCTACCCACCTTTCTCAGTAACAGTTAAAGCACACTATATATTTTTGTATGAAAGGATTATTTAATCCCAGATGAACAAATTAGGATTAAGGGATTAAGACCCGCCGCATAAACAGTTAAATGATCCAAACACAGATGATGTTTTACATGTTTGTTTGTTTGTTTCTGACACATGATGACAGTCAGGATGACAGACTCCCCCCACCCCCACCCCCAGCTGTCAATCATCCAGAGCCCTCCCCTCTGTAATCCAGGAGGCTGTCTGTCTCTCTCCTTCACGTGACGAGTGAGTCCAGCATGGCGGAGCTGTCGGCTCGGTGAATCTCTGCGGTACCGAACGGGTCGTGGACAGCCGGACCGTGGATGCTGGAGGAGAAGAGGAGGAGGAGGGGGGGAGAAACACGCAGCTCTCTCTCAGGTGGGCCCGGTTTTTAGTTCCGGTTCTTTTCGCTCCTGTTGCCTGTGTTGTTTTGTTGKTCGGCTGCAGCAGCGCTCTGTCTGCTGTCGGACTGACAGTTTCCATGTTTGTCAAACTTCCTCTAAGTTTGTTGTTTTGCTCTAGAATCGGCAGAACAGAAAGGAAAAGTGTTGCGTAAAAACATGTCACCAGTCTGGAATGGAGCTTTTTTAGGAAAAAAAAAAGTCGACTGAGCTCGTTGTGCAACCGTGATATAAGTCTTTTTAAAATCTGACTGTAGAAGAAATGGAGTAAAACTCTGGAGAAACATACAGGAAAGAGGATGATTTCATTTTAAATCAGTTTTTTTATGTTTGGACTTGTTGCACCCCAACAATTAAAGTTTATTTATTTATTTATTTGCTGTTAGACGCAGAGAATAAAAAGTCACTTCTCCCGTGTTTTTTCCCACCAACCCAGGCTGTAACTGCTTGTGAGACCTTTTCTTGTGTGTGAGGAGAAAGCTGTGTTTCCACAGCCGCAGCTTTGGGTGTAAACTTGTCATCATGAAGTGTAAACACAGCAGAGCAGCAGCAGCAGGGCTGGTAACTYCTGTTAACCCTTTACAAGCAGAAAACTCTGCGTGCAGCTGCAGAGGACCCCAGCCTGCTGAACTCCTGAACGCRCAGGAACCAGGGGTGCAGCAGGTTCCACAGGACCCTATATCTCAATTGCATGGCTACAAATCAGAATCACTTGCAAACGATTAAAACTAGGGCTGCAGAAGAAAAAGAAAAGTTTAATTCTACAGAAATTAAAACTCCGTGTGAAATCATACAACTATTAAATGAAGTAATTCATTTTTCATTACCGTTTAATTTAAGGGGAAACCCTTAAGTAACAATTTTCAGGTTTGTCGTTTTAAAAGAAGTCAAGYGCTCAATTCAAGCCCTCGTTGTGGTGCCAGGCTGTAATTAGTTTTAAGTCATGTGAAGTAGTTATTTGCAGCAGAAAGAGGCACAATGGGCTTATCTCTGAAAAGTGTTGATTAGATTAGGGCTGCAACTAACGGATTATTTTAATAATCGACTAATCTGTTGTTTATTTTTTCGATTAATCGGCCAAGTCATTAAAACGCTTAATTACATGAATATGAGTAGATTTAAATTA